TATATATTAATTGCTATCTATATATCTCAGGCCCCTCCTTCAATAAACGTTTATGTGATTTATTTTGGTGATTTCATCAGCCTCCGTGCAATTATATGTGTGATACAATTAATTATAATTATATATTTTTGTAAAATAAAATGACATCAAATTAAATAATGATTGCCTCTCTCTCCACTTTCAGCTTTGCATCCATGACAATTACCGGAGTAATCCATTTCATAATTTCCGTCACTGCTTCTGCGTCACTCAGATGATGTACAGCATGATCTACCTCTGCAACCTACAGGTATAGACACTTTCTGTCTCTTCATGTTTTAAAGACACCTCTTTTTTTTTTTATCTACAGCCACCTGTTTCTTTAGTTCAGGAAATCTGGAGCATCAGAGGTAGATTTAAGGGAAGTGGGAGGTGAATAAAAGAGACTGAGAGATAGCAAAGTGATAAATGAGTGATGTAAAAGCAATTCTGCGTCTGTGAAGATGCTTTCAGCCTCTCTGTGCTGCTGTTGCCATGGACGTGTATTAAGAGGTCATTTGATTAATTATCTGAGCTATTACAGGCCGAGCTATTAGAGGACAAATGAGTTACTCTACCAGTGTAGGAGAGCTGGGATACGTGTGCAGACCCGGCCTCATGATGACTGTCAACACGCACACATAGAAAGAGTCTTACTCTGCTGTGCTTCTGTGTTTTTCAGGAAAAGTTCACACAAGTAGATATTCTTATTTTGATGACAGCAGCTGTGTGTCATGACCTGGATCATCCTGGGTACAACAACACGTAAGAGCCATCATTCATAAGTGCTTATATACACTGACATTTATATTACCAGTCATAAATACTTCTTACCAGCCATATATATTTCTTTATATTAGCCATAAATATTTATTTAATATATACTTACTTTTTGACAAGGAATTTATACTTTTATTCAGCAAGGATGTATTAAATTGCAAGAATGCAATTAAAGACATTTATAATGTTACAAAAGATTTCTGTTTCAAATAAATGCTGTTCTTTTTAGCTGTCTATTCATGGAAGAATCCTGAAAAAAAAATGAGTTTCCATAAAAATATTCCACAATAAAATGTCCACGTTTCCACACAGCGCAACTGATTTTAAAGGGGTCATATGATGCGATTTCAATTTTTCCTTTCTCTTTGGAGTGTTACAAGCTCTTGGTGCATAAAGAAGATCTGTAAAGTTGC